CTCTTCAGCCAGTAATTGAATACTTTTGTTACCAAATGACTTTGTATGGGGGGAATGCCTAACTCTGCTCTTACAGCTTGGGTTGGGGTAGACTTATCCACCCCCAAAGTACATTTCAGAAATGAAGACGGTATCTGTTCAAACAAAGGGACATGAACAGTTAAACAGCTAAACATGTTTATGCACATTTCTCCTAACAGATATAGGAGAAATTCTGCCTATTGTATACACATGATAGCATACACTCCTCCCTCTTCCACAGATCTTCAATGGGAGGAAAGGACAAGGCTCAGCTAATTCCTTTTTTGATACCTGGGAAAAATAATGGGGAAAGAGCACCAAACAGAAGAGGATTAACAGTGCAAGGGTGCCAATGAATGCATTGTTGACAATGCTGATTCTAGAGAAAAGGTCCTTGGGGTTCAGATGAACTATAATTCCTTTCAACAGCTTTCTTTCAGTTTAGCTGCTCATTTCAGGTACCAGTTGATACATCAGAAAAACAAATATGAGTCTGTAACAATTCCTTTGAACCTTGTGTGGTGTGTTCTAGATACACCGGATTACAATTCCTGTAATTCACATCATACTACCTGGGGATTATGAGTAGCTGCAATCCAGCATGATTTGAGGATACCAGCCTGGCAAAAGCTTGTTTTCATCCATCACTGGCCTACAGTGGTGGATGCTATATACCATCAAAACATGTGGACCTTTTGGAATCTTGATAAAGACTATTGAATGTTTATTCCATTAATCTATTTGCATTAAGAAAGGCTTAGAAACTCTCACCTGACGTTTAAATATTCGATGCAGCAATCCTTTCTTCGGTGGCTCTGGAGGGTAGTTTTTGTTAAGGTCCGGTGAGATAGTACCATTTGGTCCAAACACGTTTAGTTCTTTAAAACATTCTGTTTCTATCATCTAAGCAAGATGAAAGGGAAAAATTATTTATTGGGCCCCACAATGCAATGCCTAGGGAACCCAAGAAAAATGCAGCCTTATTGCACAGAATGCCTCGTTCATAAAGACTCAATAGGCTGAATCCAGCTAGGAGGAGGATACAGTGACTGGCTGCTCATTGGAAGAGCATCCGAAGTCAAGTTAGGGCTAGTACAGAGGTAGGCAACCCACACTCCAGATGCTACAACTTCCTGCACCTAAGAGTTGTTCAGCATAACATTTGGAGTGCCACAGGTGGCCTACCTCTAGATTACCTACCTTTCCCTGAGGCTCTATTGCTAAGCATCATTCCCCAATTCTTTTATGATATTGAGTCTTGTGGCACCTTAAAGCCTAATAAAGGTTTGAGTGCATAAGCTTTGATGCATTACAGACCTTTTCATCAGTTGCATAAGAGTATTGTTGATAAACACAGGACCTTAATTAATGAATTAAGACTGGTTCTGCATGGCAAAAGTTGTGACTTGCTAGATAAATGAGAGATCACAGGTTCTTATTAAAAAATGGCAAGCTTGGTCTTTGGCCATCTGCTGAGAGGTATAATTATGTAGTGGAAACATTCTGTACATTGGAAGCTGATAGCATCTTTCTTTAAAAACATGGCTTTTCTCCTTCTCTCTGTAGCATCAGAACCTATTACAATGAGAAAGTCACAGTCTGCACACTCTGGCTGCACACTCTCTCAGACTAAGAAAGAATGGCTGGTCATTGTAGGAGACCAAAGCAGGAGCCTGCCAGAACTGTCCTTTTCATTATTTCTCAGTCTGTAACTCAGACAGCAGTACTGTGGAGGCACCCCTTCTAAAACTGTACTCTTTTTTCCTCCGTGTGACACAACACATTGCTGTTCAGTTTACATTATGTTTTCCTATTGCATCTATTAGTCATTCCCTGCCTGGTTGCACAATGTGTTATATATGACGGTTTCTGTAGTTTTAGGAAAAACCTTACAAACATGTCTATGTTTGTGTCAAACTGATGGCAACAAAGATTTACATAACTGCAGTGGTGCATGTTCTAGTGGATTTACTCAAACCCATTTCTTCTTTACAAACCCTCTATACAGAAAAACAATTAAGGAAAAATAGATGTTACGGCTGTGATGCTAATTACAGCCCTCTGAAAGCCTATCAAGAATTGTCATTGTTCTAGAGATAGGTTAGTTGTCTTGCTATATTTATTAGCTTCTCTTGTATATCAACAAATCAATATATTACAGAAGAAATTGCTCCCATGCAATGGAAAATGAGGAGAAACTGTTTACTGTTGAATCCTGAATTACAACAGAAAGTAGTATTAAATCTAATAAAACTCCTGAAAGCATAACTATTTCCTGAAAAGGGCAATTATACAAGTTCCTATTGATTATCATACATCTTATTATTTAACTACTTATAGAAAAAACATCTCAAAGATGCTGTGGTGAACAAAGTTATGTGCTCATAATAATTTGGTTAATGTACATGATGCTGTTCCAATAGAAGAGGACATCGACATAGACATAACGTAATGCTAATCAGTTAGAATTACTTGCAGCCTTAGAAGCAGCTTTAAACCACAGGACTTGCCACAGAGATCCAAGAAAACATAAGGCAGACAATCATACCACAAACCGGAAGAACACACAAGCAGAACCAACTCAAAGCAGAGGACAGAGCAGCCCTCAAAAACCTAAAGAAGGACCAAACCATCACCATCCTCCTTACAGACAGAACCATGGTTATCACAGAATGAACACAATACATACAAAAAGTCAAAGAACTACTGGAGAACAAAGAAACCTACATCTTAGTAAACACCAACCCAATACAGAAAGTGGACAACCTGATCAAGAGAAACTTAACCAAGAAAGGTCAAATCACAAACGAAGAACAGTGGTGGATGAAAAGCAGTGGACCCGCCTTGCCACACTTCTATGGATGCCCAAAAATACACAGACTCGACATACCTCTTCGTCCAATTGTATCATTACAGGACCCCAACATACAACATAGCCAAAGGACTTACAAAAAAGCTTGGACATGTCATAGAGGGGAGCAAATATTCCATCACCTCCCTGCTACATTTTCTGAATGCCTCCAGAAAATCGAAGACTTAAAAATCGAAGATGAAATTATGGTTTCATCCAATGTCACAGCACTCTTTATGTCCATAGATCTAGAACTAGCAAATGAATCCATGGCAACAATACTACACAATATACCCAACCTAGCCAAATAGACTAAGATTGAAATACACAGAATCCTGGACCTCATCAAGCTCTGCCTTACTACCTACTTTCAATTTGATGGACAAATATACCAACAAATCAGAGGAACTCCCATGGGATTACCACTTTCAGGACAGACACTGTAATGCAGCACCTAGAAACTATAGCATTCCCAGACATACAACCAAAATTATGGATCTGGTATGTAGATGACACCTTCATCATAATAAAAAAGGAACAACTAGAGAAGACACATAAAACAACCAACAACATCTTCAAAGAAATAAAATTCACAAGGGAAGAAGAAAACAACAACACACTACCCTTCCTGGATATCCTCATCAGCAGAGGAAACCACAGCAAATTAGAAACAAAAGTCTATCAAAAAACAACCCATACTAAC